TGCACTTTGAAGTTGGTGTATTTTTGACTATTACACCAGTTCCTTATTTTCTAAAATGAGTAATGCAGTGGGAGGCTTAATCCATATCCCAAATATGAGAAAATGCCAAGAAATTCCTATTTCCCATTAGTTGTGGCTTTTGTTTATGTTTATTTCAGACATACAGACTCGATACATTTTTTATGTGTGTCTAGGATAGAAAAAGCAGAGTTAAATAGAAGTGCAGCCACATGTAGTACCAAAATAAAAATTGAGGCAAATCATCATAAATCAAGCAGTACTTTATGTAGAAGTTGTGCTTCAAGTTTTTTTTTTTTTTTGCAGAGTTAAGTAATAACCAAAACAGTGACACAAAGAATATGGCTGTAAAACACAGAGATAAATCTGCCATGTTTTACTTGGATATCACAAGGGCTTAGAAACATTTAGGGCGTTTTATATACCATATGTGCTTTATTGCTTAAACTGCAGAGAATTTGAACTTCCCTGCGAGACTATTGCACTCTGTGGCAAAATGCTTGAAGGATTGTCTGGGTGTTTGTAGAAAGAACAGCAGCAACTCATGGTGTGGTTGTGGGACAGCTTCACCACAGCGTGCACAGGGTGCAGAGCTTTGCATTAAATTTCTATACAGCCTGTATGCAACAGACAACCTTGCTCCTGGAAATAAAATGGACTTGTAGTAATGTATGGGGTCCAGAGTTTTTCTGGAAAGGTGGAAATAAAAATGGCCAGGCACTGTCCACAAACAGAGCAGCTCGTGTGAAGAGCCCAGCTTATTTAGAAGGGATTATTAAACTCTTTTGTCACACTGTATGTAGATGAATCTGGGGGGTATTTTTGAGCTTGGAGCAAGTAATGAGGCTGGTGTTTACCCAGCTGAGCAAGTGGCACACATAGGGTACGTGCTTGGGTGTTAGACAGGGAATTTGTTTACAGGATGTGTAGCTTCACAGTTCTGGAGCTGCAATGGCCTCTGGAGCTAGAGAGGCAATAAGGAATGTATTTATAAAATTATGCTTTTCTGTGTGTTGGGAGTGTGAGTACTGTCTATTAAACACTGCCTTTACTTGCTTTATGCTTTGCAGGAAGGAGGTGTTTCCTTGACATTCCTCTTTAGCTGCCCCCATGCTCCTGCAATATTTTAAAAGAGGACCTTCATGTTTGAACAAAAGGGGAGGTGCTTGAGGGTTTTAATTGGTGCCAAATTTCAGGGAAGAGCCCTGAGAGGGAGATGTGCAGGGGGTCCAGTCGTGCACTGTGCAGGTCCAGTGCTGCTGCTGTGAGGGGGTGACAGGAGGCCGTGCTGTCACAGCGTGGTGGGGACATTGCTGGTGGCACGTCAGCAAACTCAGCTCGCTGAGCACCCAGGTGCCTCTGGATTAAAAGTGCCAGAGCCAATACCCTGGGATGCACCTTGGAGTGAGTAGGGAGTTATTATTAGTGCTCAGTGTAGGAAGAGGTAACAATATCCCCCAGCAAGGCATGGAAGTTGAGCTGTGTTTTCGCTGCAGATTTGATCTGGGATTTCTGAAGCAACAAAGGACCCAGTGATAGCTACAGCCTGTGAAATCTCTCAATAACAGGATGGAGTTTCTCTTCTTTCCATCCTCAAGGTATTAAAATGAAGAAGTTAAGCTGCAATGACTGCTCATTAAATGCTGAGGGAGTGTGTTAATCTGATAAATGGGAAGATTGTTTTCAGGCAGAAGAATTGAAATGAATTGCAACTTTTGGGTTCACTGGAATTAATGCACCTAGGATCAACTGTTATTTCAGCCAGCCTTTTTTTTAACTGGCAGTTTCAAGATTCTAAAAATGGTATTTCCTGCCTCCTATCTGAAAAAAATACCACATGTGCTTGTAATTTAAATGTCACAGGCCATATAACATGTGTGATCAATGGTATCTTGTATCATTTTCCTTTAATCCAAAGCATTTGGGTTACATTTATGTGGGTCCCATGGGGGACCTTTGCTTTTTGGAGGCAAAATACATCTATCTTGAAGCCTGAATTTTATTTTGATTTCAAGGAAAAATGTCCCAGTTCATAGGAAGGAATTTGGAGCATGGTTTAGGACAAAATAGAAATTGAAAGCATTACTTTATTGCTTTGTGCAGATGTAAAAGAATCAGAGAACAAGTGATGTGAAGCAGCAGAAGATTGATTTTTTTTTTTTTAATACCAGATGAGTGGTGCTATCCTTAACACACAAGAGTTGCATTTCCTTTTATTAGCATGACATTATCCAATCAGCTTGTAAAAATTAATTTGGGCTTTTTTCCTCCATTCCTAGTAGTCATTTTTGGGGATCAGTGAACAACAGTAGGGGAACCACTATCTATTTCAACACTTGTTGCATGTGTGTTTTTTATTATCATCAGCATCTTTTTTTCTTTTAAAAAACTCCCACATAACTGCAACAGCAACAAGATGTGAAAGCTGCAGCCTCTGACAGGTACACTGAGGGCATTGTGACTGCAGAGGAAAGTGGTTTTTTCCACTTTTTTCCATCTGGGAAAGTGGTTTTCTTCATTGACACTTACTGACTGAAGTTTCGTGTTTGGCAGGTGGAGTTCAAACATCTTTTTGTTTTGTAATGGGAAAAAAAAACCCTGCCAAATAATCTGAAACGTCACATTTTGAAATGGGAGTAGTAACAGACCCTGGGAGAAACCCCCCCGAACATCTGGGAGTAATAAAAGACACTGAAAAATTCCATTTCTAACAAGAAAGGGAAACAGTCTGCAAATGTGTTCTTTATTGTGAACACCCGATTTTATGATTTCTTTTCTATTGGTGCACCTCAGTGTTGTGTGATTTGCCCCTTGAGTGTGGCTGTGGTCACACTGGAGGGCTGTGGCAGCATCCCCAGAGCCTCTCTGCAGAGAAAGGCTTCTCTCCCATCCACATTGTGGTTTTTTTCCTCTCTCTGGCCATCCCTTATCTTTTGTAAATGCCAGAGGAGTTTTTAATGGCAGCCTTTGAGGCTGTTTCCTTATGTTCTCTTGTCTACCAGACTGCCCCAGTGTCCCAGCTGTTCCAGGAAAAAGCCACACCCCAAGTCAGCATCACATTAGCTGCTCTTAACAAATGAGGCTTTGAGAAAAGGGCTGAAAACTTTGAAACTTCAGCTCTAGAAATAATTAATGCTGAAAGAGCCATGGTAGCAACCAGAGGGAGAGGAGGAGAAGGGTGTGATATGGGAGGAAAAAATGATGACCAAGTCAGAGACCAAATAGCTGTGATTTTTCTTTCCATTGCTGCGCTTTATGATGAAGTGATTGTGTGGGTGAAGGATACACTGGTAGTTGTGTGTGTCTGAGCTATGATAGTAATTTGTACTTGTTTGCTCCTTTTCTCTCTCTCTTTCTGTAAGTGGTGATTAGAGTGCTTATAAAATAACTAGCATAGTGCAAATATTTTTCTGAACAAAAAGGTCGAGAGTTCAAAAACTAATGAAGGACCAGAGTCCCCCTCTGTTGAGAGCTCCCTGTTGGTCAGCCTCAGAGTAAGCAGATTTATTGCACTTTCTTACTGGCCACAAACTGCCCCAGAAATAATGGAATAATGATAAAAATAAAGACTTGTAGCACAAGTTTCACTTGGCTGAACTGTAGCATGTCTGGAAGTGAACTATTCTCTATGTGTTACAGATAAAGAATGGCTTTTATGGTTATGTGATTCTGTAGTGCTGTGCAATTAAACAGCCTGACTGTGGCTCTCTGTGCATGAAGGGCAATAGCTCTAAGTGATCATTAGCTGACCCTAATTAACAGAGTAATGTGCATGCAGGTGGTTTTTGTCTGTGTGAGCTCCGCCTTCTTTGTGCTTTCAGGCAAGCGTGGATGTATTCTGACAGAACAAGAGTAACTTTCTATTAAATGAGCGATGTTTATATGTGCCCCCCTGGTGTTTCATTGTACTCCATTCCTCCTCAGGCACTGGCAATTTTTTGCTTGCTCCCTCATCAGGCAGGAGCAGTGGGGAGGAAAAGCTTTGGGGGCAACATGCCCTGCATAAGGATGCAACGAGCATTTAAATTTCAGCGCACAATTTAGAACCACGAAGGCAAAGATTAATGATTTACTGGTTGCAGTCCTGCTCAGAGGACACCCAGCTGAGCCCTTTACCAAAGACACTTTGTTTGATGAAGTGTAGTTTATTAATTGGTTTAAAGACCTGTCCTTTTTCCAGGCCACCAGCCAATTCAGTGCTTGGCAGATGTGAGTGTTGTTACTTGGCCTTGACTTGTGTTTCATCAGCGTTTTGTCTGTGGTGGAGGCTTGCAGTCTACTCCTCAGCAGGAATGCACTGCTCATCCTTAGGGCTAATTTCTTGTTTAAAAGTTTAATGCCTTTCCAATGCTTCCTTATAACATGTCCAGTCTCTGAGAGTGTAAGCCTGGGTTTTCCTGGAAGGAACTGATGTAAAGGGATTCCTGCCCAGGTCTGGCAGGCATCCAGGTTTTTGCCCTGATGACAGCAACATGTGTACCTTTGCCATCAGCCCTGAGTTGCTACAGCTTTTCATCAAAAAAATAATCCCTTCTCTCCCTCCTGACTCTGTTTTTGGAAACAGCTACACCATTCTTAGTAAAATGCTGGGGAGGAGGGGAAACCTTACCTGGAGCAGATGCCTGGTATGGAAAAATCTCTGTCCATATTTGAAATGATGCATAAGCTGTATAGTATCATGTTGTATATAATGAAGCTGAAATTATTATTCAGGCAGTCCTGTACTGCTGTGGGACATTCTGCTCTCTCTGATTGAGAGGCTCTTTACATCAGATGCTCTGAACAGCTCATAGAGCTTAGAACTCCCTTCAATCCCCAGCCTGGGAGAGCAGTGGGGATTCACGAGCAGTTTATAAATTTGTACACAGCTTTCTCAGATTATATATGTAAAAACAAAATACACTGGATTTGTCAACTGCTTGTAAATTTGAGCTTTGTGTGATTTGAGTTTTATTTGAATAATGTTTGTTGTTTCTTCATAGATGGCTTGCGGGTGATGCGTTATGCAAGTGCCTCAAGTTTTCCTACAAGATGTGTTCCCCAAATCCAGCAAACTGGGTCACCTTTGAAGATGAGCCTCCCTTCCAGTCACCTCAGAAACTGGTTGACAATCAGAGTAGCACCAAACCAAATGGCCTTAAGCTCAACCTGTGCAGTGTTCATGAGTCTTCAAGCAGGTCGTCCTCTACAGGCAGCACTCCGCTCTCATCTCCTGTAGTTGATTTCTACCTAAGTCCTGGACCCCCCAGCAACTCTCCACTTACTACACCTACCAGAGACTACCCGGGAAACCCCTGCTTTCCAAAGTCTGGGATTCATGTGCTTTACCCGATCCCTGAATGGCCATCAAATGTTAACCCTTCTCCATCCCCTGGGATTTGCTCATCCCTAGCCTCGCAGAAACCGAGCAGCCTTCCTTTGAGCCCCTCACCTAATGACTATCCAGATAAGACTTTGGTCTCCAAATCAGCAGATGAAGGAAGTCCTAACGCACCAGAAAGCTGCGAGGAGCTGGCTCCAGGACACTTCCCATACTTCCACAGTGACTGTGCTTTCTCCAGTCCTTTTTGGAAGGAAGGGTGCTCCCTCAGCATGTCACCAGCTAATGCTAGCATGCACAGGAAGGACAAAGTGCTTGACAGGAGTGGGTGTCATCCTAGAGACAAAGAAACATGTCATGATCAGAAAAGCCTTAACCAGGGCTCCTTCAGTTACATCTGTGAGAGGCTTGAACACCTACAAGCTGACAGCTGTGAGGCTGTGGAAAACCCACCCATCTCCAGCACCCACACGTGGCACAAGCTCTCCCCCACCATCCCACGCAGCCTTTTCAGGAGCCAGAAATCAGATGGGTGGCCGTTCATGCTGAGGATTCCTGAGAAGAAGAACATGATGTCATCTCGGCAGTGGGGCCCCATTTACCTGAGCGTCCTGGCTGGAGGGGTGTTGCAGATGTATTACGAAAAGGGCCTGGAGAAACCTTTCAAGGAATTCCAGCTGCAGCCGCAGTGCAAGCTGTCCGAACCCAAACTGGAGAGCTACAACGTCTCAGGAAAAATCCACACTGTGAAGATCGAGTGCGTGTCTTACACGGAGAAGAGGAGGTACCACCCCAAGGTAGAGGTGATCCATGAGCCAGAGGTGGAGCAGATGTTGAAGCTGGGCACCACCGATTACAACGACTTCACTGATTTCCTTGTGACGGTCGAGGAGGAGCTCATGAAACTTCCTGCTCTTTCCAGACAAAAGAGGAATTATGAAGAGCAAGAAATGACTCTGGAAATAGTGGATAACTTTTGGGGGAAAGTCACTAAGGCAGAAGGAAAACTCGTAGAAAGTGCAGTCATCACACACATTTACTGCCTGTGTTTTGTGAACGGCGGTGCCGAGTGTTTTCTAACCCTGAACGACCTGGAGCTCCAGAAGAGGGACGAGCGTTACTTTGAGAAGGAGCAGGAGAAGAAGTGGATCGATATTCTCGACTGCCATTTCCATAACTGTGTCAAAGCACAGGAATTTGAGCAGTCACGGATTATTAAGTTTACACCCCCGGACGCCTGCAGGCTGGAACTGATGCGCTTCAGGACACGCTACAATGGGCAAGACCTTCCCTTTTCTGTGAAGGCTGCAGTGGTGGTTCAGGGGGCATACATTGAACTTCAGGCTTTCATAAACATGTCCTCAACTGCTCAGATCCCGACACGTTTACCCTCTGTGAAATACTGTGAAAATGTTATGATACGCTTTCCTGTTCCCACACAGTGGATCAAAGCACTTTGGACCATGAACCTCCAAAGGCAGAAGTCCCTAAAAGCAAAAATGAATAGGAGAGCATGCCTTGGGGCTCTGCATGAGGTTGAATCTGATCCCGTAATCCAAGTCTCAGTTGGAACAGCAAAATACGAGAGTGCCTACAGGGCCGTGGTGTGGAAGATTGACAGGCTTCCAGATAAAAATTCAAGTAAATAATTTGTGCTATGGGCTTGGGCATGTGTCTTCACTGGGTTTATGCTTGTGTACCTCCACCAGCTGTCGTGGTTTGGGTTTTTATCTGTGGGATGCTGTTGGTAGAAGCTAGAATAATCTTTTAGAAAAAAGAGAATACAGACTTATCAATTTCTTTAAACCATGTTTTCTTAACTTATTTGATGGAGGCAGGTGTACTGTCAGTCATTTCAAGTGTGTGGTATTGTGGAAGCAGAGCTGATAATTCTGAGTAATCCTCAAGTCTGTAGTAGTAAGGCTGAGGGAAAGGTTTATGCTTCCTGTGTACCAGCTGGGCAATGGGTGGGATGGGAAGCAGAAGTTGGTAAAATGATTTATTAACCAAATATCACACAGCTAATAGAAAAGGTGGTATTGTCACTGCTGGGTCTTGGCTTTCTAGCCTGGTAGGTATGATACAGAACTAGAAGGTGCTGTGGTTGAATTTGCTGAAGGAGGTGCTGTTGTTTTGCAAAGGCTGGTTTCTATTACCTCTTTCATGGGCTTGTGCATTGAGATTGTACACTCATGGCAATAACTGCACTGACAAAAAATGCCTCTCACTTTATTCCTATTTCTTTCTGGTGGTTTCTCACTGAAAACTTGTAGCAGTACAAACAGCTACATTTTTAATTGCACACATGGAAGTAGTTAATTTACTTTAATTTAAGGGCAAAAATATGACTTTTTGAAGAATAAAAAAATAAATGTTTGGGTTTAAAATTCCAGTTTTTACTCATATTACCAGTACCTTTCTAAAGACATATAGTACTTTTCTAAAGGCATAAAAATTCTTGAGGAATACAGTATCCTGCTTCAAGTTCTGTAGAGTGAAGGCATTTGATCCTTTGCTTGATCCTTTGCAGTATGTGTACCTGAGGCTTTTGGGGATCTGTGTAAGACAAGGGCACCTGTTAAAGCATTTAATGTAAAATATCTGTAAAATCTGTACTTTTGAAAAAGGGGTAAGTGTATGTTACTAACATATGGATTGTCCTAGTCTTGTATTATCCTGTCTGGGCTGACTGCCTCTTTAAAATGTCTAGAAAAGATTTTACCTTCTTAAGTCCCAGTTTCAGGCATTCTGCTACTAAGCCAGGACTAATGGTGGGGGAAGAGCAATGGCAGAGAGAGGGAAGTGAAGGGCATGGGCTGGGGAGACTGAAAAATGGACAGGGAGGGCAGAGGAGTGGTGGAGAGATGTAGGAGAATGAGAAGGCAGAAGAAGATTCCTCAGGTCTTCAAAATCCCTGTCCTGTTCTCAGGTTTCAGAGATTTGCACCGTGTTGGTGTGACCCATATGTTTTCCCAAGGCTTACAGGACTGTTTGGGTAGCTTTTAGTATTCTTTGCTATTTAGTGTAGGTTTGCTTCTGTAAAATCAAGTCAGCATTTTAGGCAATTTTAAAGATTGTAAGTCTTACAAATTTCCTGCAGTTCTTTCACCTGAAGATTTGATGTGTACAATTAACTTCAGATTTAAGTTATTTGAAAGGAAGAACTAGGGTTTTGTTGAGACATTCCACAGCTCTACATTATTTTCTGCCAGTAGCTTAAACTTCTGACATTTGAATAATTCCTCTAGCTGAGATCTGCAGAATCATTTGTCTCTGTGAAATGTTCGTGCATTTGAAAAAAAACATTTTGGTAGTAATACTGCCCAGTCAAATTTTAAACCTCTATATCAAGTGCTCTGTACACAGTTAAGAGTTTAAAAATAGAGTTGTCCCAAGGCGTGCCAAAAGTCTGGAGACAGTCAAACTAATAGAAATATGTAAACTTTCATAATGTGTTTACCGCAGGCGGAAAAATATGCTGAGGATTTTGCTTTCAAAAAGCCTTTGTCCAAGGCATAAAATTAAAAAAAAAAAAGAAGGGAAAATGAAAGGTTGCTTACAGTTGGCTCCATTTATAGACATTGAAATATGTTAATATCCACTGGATTCTGCTGAAGTGTTTTCTTGGAAGAGTGCTGGCCAAGTGAAGTCAGTAGGAGCTGCAAGAAACATCAGACATTTAAAAGCTGCCTGTGCCTATTCAGATATATAGATACTGTATTTGGAGTCAGAATTTTAGCATTATTTTTAAAAAAATAAAAGAAAGGCAAAAAGCTTTGAAGGGCTGATCCAGTGAAATTTCTGCAAGCTGAGTCCATGTTTGTGAAACTGGGGCTTAGTGTAAGGAAATGCAGAACATGTTATGATTTTAGCACAGTACTGGGGCCAGACTTAGCAGTGGAGAAGCTGTGTCAGCTGCTTCCCAGGGAGTTCCCAGGGAGCAAGGGAGAGACTAAACTGCAAAGCACTGTGCTTTGATCACTTGCTGTGTAAATTTGTGATTTTTCCTGCTAGGACACCTCCATCCTTGAGCTGTTGTGTAAAGCAGCAGTTCTTCAGCTGATTATTTTTTATTTCATTCTGTATCATGGAGCCACTGAGGAAGCAGGTACTAAACAAGACAGCAAACTGGAGCTTGAGGAGGTTGTGGCTGCTGGCAGCCTTTACAGCATCTGTGCATGGACTCTGCTGTGGGAGGTGATGTGGTTCCCAGGAACCACCAGGTGCTGCTTTTCTCATTCTCTAAACTGCCCAGGTGGAAACTCAAAGCCATGGCTGTGTCAGGTGGGCTCCATCCCTGCCCAGCCACCTCCTTCTGGCACTGGCACCACAGTGAGAGCTGGTGCTTGGTGGTGCTACTGTCCCACTCCTCTATTCCCTGTGCACTTCTCCCAGCAGGTTGGAGAAATGTACCCATTTAGACATAAATGCAGGAGTTACTAACTTCTAACAACCCTAATGTATGTAAATCTGTTCTTAGTAATTGTGTATGTTTTCATGTTCAAAGTAAGAGAACTGGACCTATTTTGGCAAAACTAGAATTATTACATAACTAAGACAACCAGTACATTATTTTGGCTTAAATTGCTTTGTTTCATGAGCCTTTCTCAGATCAAGGTTGCTTGAATGCTACTTATACAGGTGAACAAGGGCCAAACTGTGTTAATAAGTGCAAAGTTAGATTATTAATTGCATTTGAAATGCTTTCTGAATTCTAAATGAGATATGGAATCTAGTTTCATAGTTTTACTGATCTTTTGTTTGTTTGTTTTGGCTTTTTCATTGGTATTCCTTGGAGACAGAGCAAGCATTTGGAATACTTTTAGGAAACAAGAGCCAGATTTTCAGATTAGGGCAGACTAAAACCGCTCAATTCACAGAAGTCTTAAAAAGTTGCATAGACACCTAAACTGCAGGGTTTCTGTCTCATAAATTAGAGGGTAAAAGCTCAGTAATCTCCCCAGATTTTTCTGGTTGTCTCAGGAGTGGTTTGATTTCATCAGTCCAGGTGGTCATATGTTGACAGTGGCTGATGGGCCACATTTTGGATAGCTGGGCTTGAATATGTCATCTTGAATATCTCAGGGCTCTGAATATGTCACCTTAGCACACTGTGCCTGCTCCAGCCCACCTGCCTTTCTACAGCACCATGTTTCTCTCCTTCTGGCCAACACCTGGCTTTTTCAGCATTACAGTTTCTTTTGCAAAAGGATCTTCAACACACAGGTTCTCTTTCTTCTTCTAACTCCAGTGTAACACAAGGCCTGGGAAGCAGTGGTTTCATGGAGCAGAGATGAAAAGAACTTCTCAGTTTTGGGTGAAAACTGGGGGGATGTTCAGAGTGTTCCAGAATGCTTTGTCAGTCACTTTGTTGTCTGACAGCCGATGGGAAGAAGTTGCTCTGCGCTCCTAGCACAGCCCAGCAGTGGCAGAACTTCTCCACAAGTGAAGGGGTGAGTACTTCCCTTTGACATTGGTGTTGGTACTAGAGACAGATAGGCTGGGGGAACCCTGTGTTTTAGGAATAGGCAAAAAGGTCCAATGGAATCTGCTCCAGAGGACCCAAGGCATTATCCTTATCCAAATCCCAAACCTGTTGTCTCTGCCTTTGCAGGTTGCCATCTAAGGAAAAGGAAGCACCCCAGAATTCACTGCATCCCAACACCAAGACCACTTCATGGCTGTCAGTCAGCTGGAATATAAACCCAGAGGTTTCTTTGGATGGTTCTGAATCACAACTATGCCATGTCTAGCAGGGAAACCTTCAGCAGCAGCCCAAGAGGCATGGCTCATTTGTGCTGGACTCAAGTGGACATCTGATATCCAACATTTACCATCCAATATCTGCCTAGGAAAATTCCAAGCAGTGATTTTTTTCTGGATTAAATTTTTCAGAAGACAAAATAATTTGTTAGACAATTCCTACTGCTATTTGTTCCTTCATAGGCATCTCCCCAAAAAACTCAAGAAGATTCTGAATTTGATCTCCAAAAGCCCTTGGATGTATGCTGGTTACCTTCTACCAGAAGTTAACTACAAGCAGCAAACCCTTTTTCCTCAGATCCTTGATTAACCACAGCCCCAGAGGGATTGGCCTTTTCCCTGGCCGAGACATGCCATGCCATCTTGGTGCTGCAATTCCTGCTGTCCTCCCCGGGATGCTTCACTTGTGGCTGGCACTGTGCAGCCCAACCCAGGAAACAGCACAAAGAGCAGTTCAAGTAAGTTGTTCCCAAGCTGCATCCTGGCACCACCATGGAAAAGGGGAACAGGAGCCAAAAGGAGCACAGTTCAGATGGGATGACATCTTGCAGTGTGGCTCTGGAACAGGATGTTCCTCGTGGTGTCCTGTTGCTGGGATGGTGGAGGACTCAAGGATGGAGAGGTCCACATCAACAGAGGCTCATTCCACCATGTCCAGGCAGTCTGGAAGAGGGACTGAGCAGCAAGAGAGTGTTAGTGCAGCAGAAATGGCCTTGGACACAGCAAGAGGTGACCAGCAGCAGATCATGGACAAGGCTCACATCACAGACGTGCAGAGATCTGCCTGTCCCCGGGTACACGAGTGATGAAACAGCATCTCCTCCTCACACTTGTTCTGTGCTCCAGTTTCATTCTGAAGACACAGGCAGGTGGCTGTAATCCTTATTTTTGACTTTGTTCCCTCCTCTGTTTCCATAATAAAGTCCCTGATGTTACAGTTTTACTTGTCTCTGTGTTTTGTGTTGCTGTCCTCAGCCATATGCTGCATGCCCCTGGCATGGCACTCCTTGCAAACTGGGAATATTTGTGCTCCAGTGCCTTGCAGGACCCTGTCCTGAGGTGTGCCCAGAGGTCTGTGTAATGTTACAGGGCAAACCTGCAGCACAGACAGGCACCCAGCCCAAGGCTCCTAGGAGCAATGGAGATGCAGCCTTTTTATTTATTTTTGCCTTACAAAATGCCTGTGAGCCTGTGGATGTGGAATATTAGCATGATTTTCCTCAGGGGATGGATAAAGCTCAGTTAATGTTAACTCCATCTTCAGTGTTTCCTTCATTCTGATACAAAATTGATTCCTGTCACTGGAGGAAGTCAGTGCATAAAGAATGGGACATTTTTTCCTGAACTTCAAGATTCCATTCAGTGTAATGGATGAAAACCAAATATACACTGCCAGGCTTGCCTTTGACAAAATACAGGCAATCCTTTCTTTTCTTATTTTTTAATTTTTTTTCCCTGCCTGCAGCCAAAGCACAGTTAGTTGTCTGTGCTGATGATTAAAATCCTGGAGAGAAGGAGAAATGCAGAATCGCTACGTTTTGCCCTGAAGAAATTGGAGAGGATTCTTTTCATTATATTAAATTGTATTATCCTGCTTTCACACACACAGTCAGTGTGCTGACTCCAGTTGCTTTGGGAAGCAAGCTTTCACCCTGTGTTCCTGTGTGCCAGGAGAAGGGCTTGCCCTTATCATTGCCACATGTAAGAAATGCTGAAGCAAGTGATCCTTAGGATCATCCCTAGGATGATTAAAGTAATTCAGAATATGCTGCACAAATCCCTAATGACTGCTTTATAACATCACAGTTATTGTAGCAGTACTTTTTTTTTTGTTTTTTGAAGAAATGGGGTATGTTCTTTTCCAAACTAGACAGGGACTCCAGGTAGCCTTTATCCTGGTGGGTGGAATGTATCTTGTTTGAGCAGCACTCTGAGCTGCACCTTTATCTTCCTGCTGTGGACATAGTGTAATAAATGATGGTACACTAGATAGCTGTAGTACTTGAAATAAGCACTGCAGTAAAATTTCTACAGCACAGAGCTCTGGAAAGGGGGTTATTGGACACAGAGCAGCATCTCTGCCTTCACTACACTGGGACCTTCCAGTTTTCATTTTTCTGTCAGAGTTAAGAAATGCATTTTTAAGGGAAAACGGATATTCCATCAAACAGTTTGAATTTAGCAACAAAGCCCTACATTTGTAATATCCTCTCAATGAGAAGATGAAAGGATCTGGTAAATCTTGTGCAAATTAATTTGTAAAATTGCAATGACTGTGACAAGTGTGCTGAAGCAGACAGAAAATGAACAAGGAAACCTTATGCCCAAATAGCAAAAGATTATAGATAGAATAACCTTGTATCAAACAACAGCTCTGTGTTTATAAAAGGTAAAGCTGTGCTCTCTTGCTAGGAGATGAACCTAAACAAAGAAAAGATAATTCACTAATGGTGTGGTGGTTTTCTTTTTTTTTCCCAAGGTCTGGATCATCCACACAGCCTGTCTTACAAACTGGAACTGGGATCAGACCAGGAGATACCCTCTGACTGGTACCCGTTTGCTACTGTCCAGTTTGTTGTTCATGACACGTGTGCCTCAGGAACAGAAGTGAAGTCCCTGGGCATAGAGAGCGATCTGCAGCCCCAGAAACACGTGGTTCAGAAAGCTTTTTACAATTGCCAGGTATTCTCAGAGCTATGCTTTCCATGTTTTCTTCCTCTTCTCCCTCCCTGCTGCCCCATATAGTATTTGAAAAGCAATTATGCTTTGTATTCAAAACATATCTTGCACCTACTTTTGATAATGACTTTGAGCAAAAGAATCATTAAATAATAATTCCTTGTCTGATCAAAGATGAGACTGAAAACTTGAACTGTGAATGCAGCTTCTTTTTTTTTTTTTTCCTCATTTGAGCTATTTTTGGGAGTACTGGTTTTGAAATCTGTTGGGTCTAGAAATATTTTGATTTTGTGTCAAAGCTTTTTTTCATGCTGTTGCTGCAGTTCACACTTTCTGTGTCCAATTATTTGCTAATTCTGCCTGCTGTTTTTTGCTTTCTACCTGCAGGTTGAAATTGAAAAGAAGTGGATTAGGCTTGATGGAGAAGACCCAGATAAGGCTGGCAACTGCCTAATGCAATGAAAGAGGACAGGAGGCACCGTCATAGGATATTATTAGGGATCAATTTACATAGGAAATTCTATTGTTAGGAGAAGCGCAGTGACCCAGATTAGGGTAAACACTGTCATTGAATTTTTTTTAGTGCTTATGGGTTTGAGTCTGCAGTCATTGGACTGGCCTGCATTCAAGTAAACTTCCTGTCATGGGAGCCCTGGTATGAGTAAGGTCTCCTTGTCAGAGTAGCAGGATGTGAGCACTAGACTGACTGATTCTAATGTATTGTTTTCCTTTTGTGTATTTGTGACTGGGGAATGATCTCATACTCCCTACTGAAACCTAATGGCACTACTCAAAAGGTTTATTTCACTTGGACATGTAATATTTAGTAATAAAAACTTCCAGAGTGCTTATGATCTATCAGCACCTGTGTAAGGTCCAGAAGGACCAATTAACATTTTTTAGTGCTGTTTGAAAACTCAAGTCCCTCATGTTTTGGCTCCCCTTGATGTATGTGAGTAGAACAAGTCCAAATAATATTCTCAACAAGAGCCTTAATTAATGAGTTGAAAATTGGGTGATTTCATTGGGAAAAAGGGTTCTCTGCAATAGTACTCTTTATTCTTCTGTGGCTGCAACTGTTTCATTCTTCTGTGGCTGCAACTGTTCCCTCCTCAGCACTTTTTAGGTTCACTCAAAGTAATCTCTTGGGCAGAAAAACCCATATGGCAGATGTGATTGAAGTCTCTGTGCCAGGTTTAGACAGTTCCTTTTCACTACTGCAGCAAGTGAGATAAGGGGTGGATTCTCAGTGAGTGTAAATCAGTCCAGGGCCATTTCATCTGATGAGGCTTGGAGAATTTACACCAGAGGAGGTTTCCTTCCACGAGCTGGATGCTGCTGTTTGCTCTGTGTCTCCTTTAGGATGCAAGTTTCAGATGTTGGTATGGAAACTGCAGGAGCTGTGGCTTTGAGTAACTTTTAAGACATGCATGAAAAGGGAGATGTTTTCATGCTCCTGGCTCTAAAGGCATTTTCCATGGGGAAGTAATGCAGGAATGGACTGTCACAAGAGACATGAAGCTGTGATGCTTCATCAGGCAGCCTGAGCTACTAATCACTAATGTCAATGTGTTAATTGTGTTTTCAACAAACAATTGGCCTTGAGGGAAATGTTCTAATACTTCCCTTCAACCATTATTCCCTTTGCCATTTTCTGCAGGCTGTAATTCCAGGTCTGAAACATTTTTAAAATTTATCATACTGTCTGAAACAATATGATAAATTTTAAAAATGCTCATAATACCCCTTTTTTTTGGCTGCAGTTTTCTTAAAATTAGCCTTACTTCAAACTAAAATTAGTGGAGAACAAAAATATAGGATTGCACTGTCTCACTTTATATTTTGTACAGCTTGTAACTGTTTATATGAACACTGTGTAAAAATACAGATAAATGGTATTCCCCAAAAGTAGAAATATGTGGGATATACACAGAGAAAATTACCAGTCTGAAGAAATAGAAGACCATAATATGAACCTAGTTCATCACAATAAACTTTTCCCCCCATCCAGAAGCTGAGAATGAAATGGGTAATAGATTCTATAGTAAGTCCTGAGGGCAGGTTTTTTATGGGTATTGCATTGCCAAAGCCCCAAATAGACTATTATGGTATTTGGGCTTCTCTATATATCCCTTTTTATTAGCAGATTATATTGTTATAAATCTAAGCAAGCGTTGGACTACAGTAGTGATCCAGATATGTCTCAGCTGTTGCCTCCTCTGTCTGTGTTTTGACTTGAGAAGCCATTAGCACCTTCAAGTCATGTTTGGTATTTTATTAATATTTAATTTGGTTTATATTCTTCTCAGCTGAACTAAGGGGCACAGCGTTGCCACCAGGGCAAAGTGTTCATACTTGGTGACATGGCAAGCTCTGCAGTTTGCTGAAGTCCATGGTTGTACTACAACTACAATATTTATTAACCTCTTTGCTCAGTGAGGTAGAGACAGCAAAATATGCATTGCAATCACCTGCAGTTACCTTTGCCTGGGGCTGACTTGTTTTGATTGGCATTAAACTGCTAACTCAGTAAACCTGTTAACAGTGGTTGCTCTCCAAAGCCTGTCTTGCCTAGCTGTCCCTATTTTTCTGTTTTTAAGAAGGAGGAACCTGAATATCTCCATTCCAGCTCTCTTTCAACTTAGGATCTCCATTCACAGCACTCACCTCCTGGGCACGGGGTACCTGGTGGTGTTACAGGTCCTGCAGAAGCTGTGGCTGCTGTTGTGCTCTCAGGTTTCTGCTGTGTCTCAGGACGTGTTTAAGGAGCCTGTGTAGTGTTGACCCTTCAAGATACAAGCTACTGTTTGCAGTGAGTGGCTTAAATAATGAATGACCACCTTACAAGTCACCATTCCTGCTAGAGAGTTGTATTAACTCCAGTTGTATTAAGGTGTTATGGTGCAAATGATCATTCAGACTTACTGAACTCAGTAACATAAAAAGGTCAAGCTACAGCTTTGTCTGTGTTGCAAACCCCTGGATTTTCATTTGAGGCTTGCAAGACTCATGATTAACTTTAATCAGAATTGGATCAGGATAACAGGGAATTAACTCCACAGAAATACTGCTACACTGAAAGAAAGTTACTCTGTTTAATACATGGCTTTCAGTTTAAACTTGACAATTAGTGAAGCCTAAGATTGAATAATTGCCCTGTTCAGTCTCACACTGATGTTCATATGCCTTGATGTCAGAATATTTAAAAATAGGCTGCAGTTTAATGAAAGAAAATTTGGGTTGTCTGACTTTTTTCCCTGCCATCAAATTCTAACTTCCCATTATATTGCAACACGCCAAACCAGAAATAACCAGGCTTCTCCTTTATTCTGTGTTGTCTTGAGCATAACTTACTGACCAAATATTCTTAACTTTAAGACTCATTGCTAACATTTCCCATGAATGTTAGCTGCAGTTTTCTTAAAATTAGCCTTACTACTGTTAATATCAGCAGCTGATACTGAGTAAACAAACGGGCTCTGAATTCTTTAGAAATTTCAGCTACAAGTAGTCTAATTGTAATTTTGGGAAGGGGAGTGGAGATGAGGAGCAATTGCTATAATCTGTTGTGATGCATAAGCAGTGTCCAGCTAGCAGAAGGACTGGAGCTTTAAATAACTCATGAGGTACTGGCATCATGTGAGGAGCCAGGTTTCACACGTGTCTGATCTCTGCTTCCCGCAGCGAGTGCCCGCAGTCACTGAAATGCTTCCAACTGCCTGGGTCACTTAAGATGCTGACATTTCACTAACATTTACTTCAGGGCAGTGTTTAGATGTTATCTGTGTTTCCTTCACAAAGGACCAGCAGGGTTTGGGAGATTTTATATTTAAAACAGAAATCAATGAGAACAACTATTTTTATAGTGTGTTTGCCTTACTTACAAAGTGTCATATTTGCTGAAAACGACAAACTTTATCTTTGCATTCATCTTTGTTGTACTAATTGTATTACTCCAGGTAAATGGTACTTGATGTAATTTTGGATTCAAACACCCATTGAAGTCAGTGGAAGTCTTTTAACTGATAAAATGGGATCTGCATCAAAGTCTCTAATAATAAAAGAGAGGCAAAAAAGAAGAAGAAGAAAAGAATAGTGATAATCGTCTGTAGATGTTTTTTTATGTCAGTAAGTAAAAAACCAGCAATGCCCACTTACGCCAACCAGAAGAGAGCACAAAGTGTAAGAAAAGAGGTGTTACTGGATGCCGCAGCTGAAGCTCTGCAGAGATTGGGAACAATGGTTCTGTTGCCCCTGGGTAGAAACTCTCAAGAAATTAGGATGATGATGCACTCCATTGAGCTTGATACCAAGCCACCGTCATCCTTATGCTCCTTGCTTTGTTTTCCTCCAGATTCTGTATTAATTGTCCAAAAGTATTTTATATCTGAACACATGTTTTCACATGTTACTTTTGGTTGTGTTTATTTTACCTGGCAGACTTCTTTGCTGCGGTGTTGTTGTCCACACTTATATTTTCCATTTATTTGTCTTTTTGTTACTTAACACAGTAACTAACTGCTGCAGTTAGTAGTTCTTAGCAATAATTTTGATAACTCTGAAGCAGTGCTGTTACTCCTAATGGAAACTGTAATTTTATTTGGGTCTTTTGTCAGTATAAGTGCAAAGAGATCATGCTGATAATCTTGTAATAACATTTTGTAGATTGCATATTGATTAAAAAAATAAAGTTGTATTTCAAACTAGCAGTTTCTTGTGCCCTTAATAGAAATGCATCAGTTTTGAATTTACTGTAATTAACTGGTTGATCTTGATCATCAGGTATTGTAGCTCGTAAGAAAGAACAGTTCTGGTCTGTGAGTGGGGAATATCACTCAGGTAAAGCTGGTAGCAGAAAGCTCAGCAATGCACTACATTACATTTATCATAGAAGGTTTGGGGTGGAAGGGACCTTGAAGATCATCCAGTTCCAATCCCCCTGCCATGCACAGGGACAGTTTTCCCTATACCAGGTTGTGCAATGTCCCAGCGAGCCATGAACACTTCCAGGGGTGGGGCATCCACAGCTTCTCTGGGCAACCTGTGCCAGTGCCTCACCACCCTCCCATTAAAGAAGTTCTTCCTTACATCTAATCCAAACCTGCCCTCTTTCAATTTAAAGCCATTCTTCCTAGTCCTTGCACTAATTGTTCTTGTCACAGCTTTTTGTAGCCCCCTTTAGGTGCTGTAAGGTCTCCCTGGAACCTTTTTCCTCTCCAGGGGGAACAGCCCCAGCCCTCTCAGCCTGTCCTGACAGGAGAGCTGCTCCAGCCCTCTGAGCATCTCTGTGGCCACACTCTGAACTTGCTCCAGCAGGTCCGTGGCTCTTATGTCGGGGGTCCCAGAGCTGGATGCAGCACTCTGGAGGGTTCTCACAATGATTTATGGCAGACCCTTTTCTGCCTTATTTCCTAGCAGTACTAACCCAAAGAAAAAACCCAGAAAATGTGGTTTTTCCTGTTGAGTGCTCCCTCTGGTCTCTCTGATGTATTTGAATATAATGTAGTGACAACTGTTTAAGACTTTCACAAATTTCAAAGTCTGTTCTGTTACTAGGGAAACAGTGAGACCTCTGTGGGGAAATATGGGAATGAGGCAAGAGGTTTATGAGGCAGCATTCAAAGAATGGGCTTAAAGAATAAAATAACCGTGCCACTTGTCCTATGCTGCGGTGTCTGTAGCAAAGCAATCAGCTACTCTGGGAACCACCAGGAAATAGAGTTAACATCCATTTTCACTTCAGTGGCGTGCTATCCTTCAGTGAGCACCTGCAAATGGAAAGCAGCTATCTAGCAAAAGTATGGTTTTCTTAAAGAGCTTAAACATTGTGCAATGTTTAAAAGTATCAGCGAACAACATGATTCAGGGACATGAAAGAATGAGATGGGAAATTGCTAGAATATAAGTAAAAACATGAAAATATTTATTTTCTGACAGCTTCCTAGTATTTGCAATGCCTTGTATGTGCTATTTTATAGGACTATTCTTTCCTTAGCAAGACCAACCAGTAATTTTTTACAATAACAAGCATAACATGTTGTAAGTGGTGCTCATGCTCCCTGCTGAAGCCTCACTAATAAAAATAAAAGAAAAGCATTAGCTCAACATTCTGCTTTGCCATCCCAAATCCCAGTGTGATTAGGTATTTCTGGTTGTGAGTGGGTACAATCTAGTGTTACTTTGCACTGTGATGGCCTTTTTAGTTTAATTGAGAATAACTTTCACTTCCATTCCCAGCAATAAAAGTCCAAGGGGAAAAGGTCGGAGTAGGGATGTGCTGGGAGTAGAAGAGACGTGTGAGGAGTGACCAGCAGTGGGGGTAAGAGAGAGGAAGCAGGGAGTGAGCTGGGAGCTGGCAGGAGAGGGCAGCAAGCAGAGCGTGTTTGCACTGAGCTGTCTCTAAGGAGAACTGATGCCTCTCCAAGTCAAGTTGAAAAGTTTACCAAGGAAAGGGACTGAAACAGAAAAGTGCGGGGCAACCCATGCAGAGAAGTGCCTTCAAGGGAAGGTATTGAGAACAAAGTTGGGAATGGCTGCGGGTGGCTGGGTGGGGAAAGGAAGTGAATGATCTCCTGGGGTGGGGAGGAGGAGCTGGAGCAGCTGGAGAAGGAGCAGTGGAGCATGGCAGAGCCACAGCAGGTGGCTGTGAGACTGATGGGGGGCACAGGGAAGGTTCCCCACCCGAGCAGGGCAGTGCCAGTCCAGGCAGGGGGCCTGCTGGTTTTCAGTTTCTTTTTTCTACCTCTGTCGAGGTCGGGATTGAAGGCACTTGAGACGATAGTTCGTGTTCAGACTCAGGTGTTTATTATTTCTTATCAATGTTACAGTCTCACAGCAGTGACTTCTGCAGTCTTTCATTAGCAAGGCGCAAAATGGCTAACTATCTCTTGTTACAAGGTCTTTTAAGGCTAAATGACCCAATTAAGAAATGACACCTAAATTATTTTCACTTTTAACCCAATAACTGATCCCCCAAAGTCCGCACTGCAGACTTTTCTGTCCAATTACAAAATACCTCCCAAACCTGTGAAGAAGAAGGAAGAAGAAGGTAAAAAAGAACAACTTGCCTCCACCCTAATACCTCCATATTGCTTCATATTTATTACTATATTCTGAAACCCCAAACTCTAGGTTTTCCACCCTGTGATATTACACACTTCTAACCAACTACACGCCTGTAATCCCAGTGCTATCAATCAATTTTGGAAGCTTGTTCCACGGCCTCAGGTCAAAGGCAAGTGCTCTCCTGGGAGTCAGAGTCTGTCTGTACAGAAAGTCTAAAATTCTCAGTATCCAGAACTCCAAGAGGGGCCCACCTTTCATACAGTGCATCCTGCCATTGTGCACCAGGCAGAACTCGCAGGGCCTGGAGCATCCCTGTCTGACACTGCACCGCTCTCGGTGGTGGTGACCTGTCCTCAGGACAATCTTGCTCATGCCATGGAAATAACAAGGTCAATGGTGTAAGGAATGCAATGAAAATATCAAACAGAACCCAGCAGTGAAGAAGGGAGGATTTAAAGCACGAATTTAGGCATTAACCTGGTGATATCCAGAGGTGAGCTACCACTGTAACCTTCTTGGACTGCCATCCGGGAAGGGACCTTCATGTGTCATCTGTAGCATGGAGCAAATGTCACTGTCTAAACGGAAGTAATGACACTGGGATTTAGATGAGACTTCATCCGAAGTGGAGGGAGCCAACTGCTCCCTGAACAGAAATGGGAAAAGGCTGTTTTAGCCCCCTCCATCTAAATCCATTACTGAATATCTTTGATGCTAATTATATGATTATGATGTCAAAATGAGAGTGCAGAAAATCTGCTCTGGGTAGGTCTACTCAGGAGGTGAAAAGAAAAAAAAAACCACAAATGGAAAGGTGTGTACAGTTGTGTGTTAGGACAACAGGAGCCCCTCCTTGTTTCCTCAGAAAAGGAAGCTCAGGAATATGACTTTTAGCAAATACTGGGGTCCTCATATAAATGCTTCCCACAGCCAGTATGACAATGAAGGTTACTCTCCATACAACTGAGTTATTCCTTAGCAGAGTTAAATTGGTATTAATGAGGCAGTAAGAAGGACAGCCTGACTGCTTAGATGTGCTTCAGCCTGTCTCTCAAAGTCACTTGCTGGGTGATTTTAGTGGTTGCTTGGTGCTGCAAATTCCACTGCTGGTGCAAAGGCCTGATGCAGTCACTCAGCTTTATTCCTCTTGAAATTACCAAATGCAAAGTTAGGCAGAGCAAACTGGCCTTGACCAAAACAGGCTATTCTGCTTTTATTTAACTTCACACTAAAACTGCTGGACTCCTGCAGTCGTCTGCTCAACAATGAACTTCCAGCAGCTAATTCAAATAAGGAAAAATGATGGTTCTGGCATTTATTCTCCCATTGCACCCTGCCTCTGTGTGGTTCTGCACCCCCTGGTAGCTAATCTCTCCCCACTGGAGCCAGGAGCAGATAAGTGGCAATTACAGACTGGTGGGGAAGGGGTGAGTTTTCATCCACTGATGAAGGTTAAAACCAGATGGCAGGGAAAGGACTTAAAGAGCCATGAAGGCAAAGACAATGGACAAAAGAGGAAGGAGCTGAACTGTCACATTTTTTAGGACACAGATCAGGAGGTTGAGGTCTCTCTGGGAAAAAATACACATCTGTACATCATACCCAGGGCAAGCAAGCTGATAGCAAAGGAGGTGAGGGAACAGGGGCAACAGGGGCTGAAGACTGAGCCTGACACCAGCAGGAGTGTGATAGAAAGGCACAAGAATAAGCACAGTGAAATGACCCCTCCCCACCCCAGGCAGCTGCTGTTTCCCTTTGAGGCTTTCTGTCCACATAAGGCATATGTATCAGGGTGAGTATTTAGGAGAGGAAAGGCTTGCTTCATCCTTAGTTAGGCTTACTGATACTACACAAGTCTTTGGGCTTATTGAGGAGCTGAGATATACAGTACTATTCAGTATATTCAATCCATCAGGCTGCCATTTTTATATAGCAGTTTGTACAGGTCAGAGCCCCTCATAAACCACCCAATGTCCTGAAAATTTGTCATTACATTGAATTAAGGGAGAGCTCGTTCTATAGTTCCGATAAAGTGGCTTAAATCAGGTAAAAAAAGAGAAGCTCTTGAAGAAACAGGAGTCACACATGATAAATGAAAAAGGAAGAAATCACAGGTCCCAGTATTATCTGCCTCAGAACTCTGAGGGAAATGATGGAGCTTGTAACAAAATCACGCTGTTAATAAAATTGATTATGAGACTGGAGTGCCATATATCTATGAGTCAACAGCTGAAAACAAAGGGAACACATTAGAGGATATCTTTAAAATGAAATTACACCTCTGCTCATGTCATGTTATCTCCATGAGGACTGCCTGGATTCTGCAACCTGTTCCTCCTAAGAATGATTGCCTTTACTTGGAAAGAAAAGGCAAGATGGTGTTTGTATAATATGCCTTGAGAAAGAATTGTGCAGCCCTGCAGTTGTGTGGCTGTGTTCCTCTCCAGCAGCAATGCTGGATTTAAACAGGAGAGGGCATTCATGACCAAGCATCTGAGCGTGCTGAGGGCTCTCCATTTCTTAGAAGGAAGACATTTGAAAATGGTAACTTTTTTTTTAATGATTAATAAAGGCTTATCATCCAAAAATAAATCTTCTCTAGACATCATGTACCAAAAGGAATATAAATAATTACAAATTAAAACCTGTCTAGTAAACGAATGTTTGAGGTGCCCTTAAGCAGCACTATCCCAAAGGCAGACAAAATCCCTGAAAATCAGGAGGGTTTGAACAGCATGCTAATATTTTCTTTTCTAAAACTCTGGTGAGCTCTTAAAGAAACTACAATGGGGAGAGCTGGACTGGAAGATGAATCAAGGCTGATGAAACCCCAGTGCTGTTCCTGGCTGCCATTTGTGAGCTTGGGCAAGATTTTTGGTGGGTCTGTGCCTCAGTTTCTTCTCTTAAAAGTGAGATTAAAAGTTAAAAACTTCCATTAGCATGAAAATGACAACACTGTTGGCAGGACTTGGACAGTAGGTTAAGCTCACCACATCAAAGCTAGCCAGTCAGTATGAGTAATGCTAGTTACAGATATTTTTATATTTTCCCCCTTGTTCAGAAATGACTGAATTTTTTCTGTGCATACCAGGCTTTCTCATGCTGTTCAGCTGACAGCGCTTGGATGAAAAGACACCTTCCCTAGGAATTTGTAAAAGAAATAATACAAGGTGTGTTGCTAGGCCACAGATGAAAATAGAAGTGTCTTGGTTAGCAGGAAGTGCTCTCTGCAACCACCCTGTGCAGCTTGGAAAGTTGTATTCCCATTCCTACTTTATCCCCAGTGATATCTGTGTACTTTAAGTAGGTTTATCTGCTGTCCCAGCTTGAAGGGAGCTGATATGACCTGGTAACAGGCCAGGCTAATGATTCACAATCCAGAGGGAGCCATTTAGAACAGAGAGGGATGCCCACAGTGCCTCGTGGGAATGCAAATACAGACACATGCTGTCCACCTCAAGTGCAGGTAGGGATAATTTGCTTTGGTCTGCAAATTTTCCTGTGGACATAGGCAAAGCCACCTGACCACCATCTGAGACAGCTGAGCAGCCCTTTGGTACCAAACTCCCCAGCTCTCCTTTTGGAAGTTAGGTGTACAAACTGCTCTGGTTCTAAGGGACTTTGTAAACCCTGAGATAAAGAGAGGGAGGTGGAAAGCAGTGAGCTCATTTATGAATCTTCTCCCTGCCCTTGCACCTTTCTAGAAGCCCTGTACAGCGTGCTGGCAGGACGGTGGCTCTGGGCCAGGTCTGGCTGCCTGGTGAGGAGGTGGCAGCCAGCTGCAGGATCCCCATCTGCGACCTTCATGGCCCAGCAAGAGCCTCAAGGCTGCAGCTCCTTCCTGCTATCTCTGCTAACACGACAGGAAAAAAGTCAGGAAAAAAAATAAGGGCACTTTTGGTATGCACTGGCCCAGGCAGTTTCAAATGAGCACTGTGCTTTAAGGAAAAAATATGGTTTATTATTTAAATTATTCTGTAAGCAAAGCAACATGGCTTGCCTTTTCCTCACAATGATGGAGGGCATACAGAACAGCTGAATATGCAACTGCTGTTTAATTCCAGACTTAAGCAGTGTCATTAAACATATTTTCTTGCAGAGAAAAATTACTTCAATAGCAAATTGCATTTGTCTCACTTGTGAAAACACAGCTTATTAAGGGTGTTGCTTCTTCTATTTTGTAGGTGTTAGTCTGGCTATTTAATTAAGGGTCTGACAGTATTTTCATTAAAATATTTTCATTTTTCAGGATGTGTAAGCCTTAAAAATGAAAGCTTAATGTGTGAGTCTCCTTTTCACAAGCAAGCAGCACTGTAACAACATAGCTACCTAAAAAATGAAAAACAAAGGAAAATGAAAGGAAAAAGAGACTATATTTCTAGGTTCTCTGAAGCCTCAGGGCAACACCGACCGAAGGTGCATAAAGACCTAAGTATATATTCTCCTGCACATATGAGATTAATGAACATTTTTCCAGATTAGTAACTGCTAAATTAGTAGATCTCTGCATTAACATATGAACAGATTGCTGCAAATGTAAGCAATAATTGAGTAGTTCTACCAGATTGCTGCTGCTTAACTGCAACGCTTAGCTTCAGCTATCCCCGTTTAGGAGGCAATCACCACTTCAGGCTTTATTAGAGCAAAACCGCTCTGATGCAGCCAGCTTTCCTGGGCGCATTCCCGCCCCACGGCAACACCTGCATCGCTCCTGTGCTCGCAGGGTGATGCTTCAGGGTGATGCTTGGAGCCCAGACCGGCCAGGGGCGGCTCGCTCTGAGGTTTAGGCTCTGCCTTTAGCATGCTGTGCCCCAGAGCCGGCGGGGCTTCGGGGTGTGCGGGCACGGGAGCGCTGAGGGCCGCGGGACAGGCCCGGGCGGGGCCGCCGCTCCTCCGGGCAACGGCGCCTTAAAGGCGGGCGGGGCTGGGCCCGCGGGGCCGCTGCCATGGCCCGCGGCAGCCCCGTGGTGAGTGCTGGGCTCGGCTGGGCTGAGTTAGGCTAGACTAGCTCAGCTAGGCTGGGCTAGGCTAGGCTAGGCTAGCGGGGTTTGGCCGCTCCTCCTTGCAGCACACAGGGGACAGAGATGAGGAGGTCGCCTCCCGGCCTGGCCGGGAGCCGCCGCCCGTTCGCTGGCGCGGCAAGCCCAGAGACGACATCGAAAGCGTTTATTACGATTATTTAATTTCTTAAAAAAATTCTGTTGAAAGTGACCATTTGTGGGCAAAGGCGTTGTGGCAGGGGTTGGCCCTGGTGGCTGCGGGTGCAGCTCGGCCGAGGCCTCTGTGCCGTGGCGGCGTTCGGCCGCTCCCTTCCCGGGGCTCCCTCAAAGGACGGGAATCCCAGGGGAGCCCTGGAGGCTTTGCTGGGGTGGGATGTGGGTGAGCCCCTCCTGCCACCCCACTGCACACGAGTAGAACCGGAGTTGGACAGTTCCTGCTATGAACGGCCTGGTTCTGGTGAAGGAGTGCCTGTTGTAAAGAGTTTAAGCTGGAGTACAATAGCGTCTGTGCTGTAACCATTTTTCTCTAATTTGCAAGCATGTGCTGTTTGAATTTTACCGCTATGAACGGCCTGGACCTGGCAAAGGAGTGCCTGTTGTAGAGTTTAAACTGGACTACAGTAGCGTCTGTGCTGTAACCATTCTTCTCTAATTTGCAAGCATGTGCTGTTTGAATTTTACAGTGGCTGTGTGCAGTTTTTATATAGCACAATAAATATTTGTACTCACTGTAGCTTGGCAATCCTGGGGAGAGAACTAGGCCCGTTGAAAGATTTACATTTAGATTCTCTTCTGGATTAGCAGTGAAGGCAGAGCATTTGACATATGGGCTGATCAGCAGCTTTTAGTGTAGAGGTACAAGAGGAAATTTTTTCCCTCTTCATCTTTTGAGTATCCTGAAAAAGTGCTGGGGGACTCTTTGGAGGTTGATAACCCCTGATAACACACATGAGCATGGTTGTTTTAAAGTAGTTGTGTTAGTTGTCTTTCCCAGAAAGTATAACATGTTAGTTCTTACTCTTTTCTTTGAAAAGAAATTGTTTGTCATCTGCACTTTACAACAACTTTGGATAAGTAAAATATGAATTTGATATTTAAAAAAATATATATATTATTAATCCAGAATCTTGTAAGGTTTCCCTGAATATCTCAGCTTCATTTTTCACCTTGTGTAGGCTATTCTGGTGGTAATGAGAGTCAAGATTAATAAGCTTTAAATTGCTAAAGGCTCGTTATCTTACACTTGCATTGGAGTGTAGGAATCTTGAAGCTCATGTGCATCTGCTGTCCAGGTCTAACTGGAGGATTAAGATTTAATCACTGACATCATGGGCAGAAGAAGGAATAAAATGTTCTGTTGGAGCCCTATTGGATGTAAGATGAATGATCTGTATTGATAAAAGTAGTGTTTAAATTTCCAGTTAGGTTACTATGCAGCATCAGACTGTTTCCACAAAGAAAAAAAAAAATCTCTATTACTTTTTGTGGGTTCCTCACATTCTGCTTCTGATGGAATGACAGGGTTCATTTTTAATAGCTTGTATTATTGGTTGCCCCTTAGATTAGGAGCAATGGTTCTAGTATGATACAGTGGGATTAGACAAGCTTGTTTGAAAATACAACACAGCAATGGTTTTTGAATGTTTCTAGGATTTTCTTAAGCATTTATCAGATTATTGGTAGCCTAAGCAATAATTTGAGGCTCAAATCCAGTACTTTTTTAGGGTGTTAGATTTAAGGGAATGAGTGGACTTGCAGACCTTTGTCATTCAGTTTATGAAACTGATCTGTTCATGCTGTTCAGTTTGTTACAGCAGTTTATGAAGTGAGATTAGACTTTGTGCTATCTTTTCAAATGACTCAATGCTCATTTTAACTTGAAAATATTTATTTTCTAACATAGCCTGAGCTGTACAAGTCCATTATCGAAGATGTGGTTGAAGGTGTGCGGGAACTCTTTGCAGAGGAGGGTGTAGAGGAGCAGGTTCTGAAAGACCTGAAGCAGGTTTGTTGGGTTTCCTTGTGTTAATAGCAGTTGTGTTTGTGTTTTTCTTTTGAGATGATGGACCTGTCAATTTCTTTGCCCTCCAAAACATGCAAACTCTTGCCCTGATACTTACAAGTGTCCTGTGAGTGGTGTGGGGGCTGTTGGGAGTGGAAATTGGTTGGTTTTTGCTACCCTATTTGTTGGATAGAATCAGTCAGTTTACTCCTGGAAAAGCTGGGAATACCTGATTATCTTTCTTGATGCAGTTTGTTTTTAAAACTGATAATCTTAATAATCTTCCTGCAGCTTTGGGAAACGAAGGTGACACAGTCTAGAGCAACAGAAGGCTTCTTCAAACACAGCCACTGCTCTCCACGGTTCAGTCTGCAGCTGCCACACAGTTCTCACAGCATTTTGCAGACTTCAGCAGGTCAGATGTTGTTGGACACAGTGCATGCAATTTAAGAATATCTCACGGATTTAGGGATATTTTTGGAAGACTTGAAAGAATCTTGGTTTGTGTATATATCTTATATGCATATATCTAGCTTGATGTGGAACAGTAATCATTTGAGAGCAGAATTTGACCAGTAAATGATAAATTAAACTTTAATAAACAAATAGGATTCTGCCTGCATGCTTTTGATCAGCTGTTCATTTTCAGTGGCAAAACATGCAGAGTTTTAACCTCGTTGTCTGCAGTCCAATAGTGCAGCACTTCAGTTGCAAATTTACCTGCAGGGTTAAGCTCCTGCTTCCCCTTTTAACGTGTGTCTTGATGTGCTGAGGTTTTATGGCTCGTTTGTGCCATGCAGTTCTGCTGTCAGGCTGGGGCTTAATCTCATTCTCAATTTGTTAAAATGTAATCCCTTCTTCAAACAGAAGAGAAGCAGCTTTTTAGTTTCTTTTTCAGTTAGTTTTTCTAAAAGCAGCATTCCTGTTGCAGAGGAGTACTTGACTTTGACACAGTCTCTGACATCAGGACCTCTCCTTCTTAATAAAGTCCAGCTGAGCACTGTGGTGTTGTTGTGGTAGAGTGTAGTACTCAGCTGAGACTTATTCCAAAGTGAGAGGCTGTTAGGACCTTTGCCCATGAAGGACAAACCCCATATGAGATGATTTAATGAAAATCCATGTTGTAGTGTATTTCAAGCTTGGGCAGGCATTCTTTATCAGTGGGGTTCTTTACTTCTTTATCTTTTTTCTTCCTTGTGTTTCTTTTGGGGTTTTTTTACAATCTTCCTAGTTAAATGAACTGTTTTTGGAGGCAAGTGTTTTGTTAGTGCTGTGTGACTAAAAGAAATATACTTTTTTATTTGCAGGCTATTGTAGGTTTTATATTTAATGAGCCTTTCCTTCTTACCCTTAAGTTTTTAAAGGGAAATACTAAGGCCAAATGCTCTGAGTTAATCTATTTGTTTCTAAAAAGGGGATTTGAATTGCCCCATGTCCAGAGATTTTCAAAGTGGTTAAGGCTACCTAAATTTCTTGCTTCTAAAAGCCCAGGAAAGTTTTCCCTTTGCCCTTTTTTCTCCCATGGAATTCAGTACTGGGTGCTGTTGAAAATCTTATCCTACTGTTCCTACTTTTAGCATCATTGGATTTGCTCTGCTGTGAAAAAACTACTTGCATGTTTTCCTCAAGTTGACAAGGCAATACTCATGCTCACTAATGAGGATGAACTGAAGTTAGATTGCTTTAGTTTCACCCATGTTTGCTGTAAATTATTGAACGATAACTGTGTCCAAGAAATTAATGTTTTTTGTAAAGTGGCTTTTAAATTTTTTTCACAGCTTCTTATGTCATCCAAGCTGGAAGAGGTTTTCAGCATTTCACAGCAGGAAGACTGGTATGTAGCTGTAGTGATGCTTCACTTCAATTTTGATTATGTTGGACTCCTAAATTTTTTAAATTATTTGCCAGTTATTAATAGGCTTTAGGAGGGAGAGCTGTAACATTGTTGCTTCTGTTGGAGCAGTGAAAAAGGATGGGCTGTACCAGCTGGTTCTGCAAGACCTGAAGCCAGAAATGTTGGAAAGACACAGCTGCCTGTGTTTAGCCCATAGGGTGAAAGTGTAGTGGAAATGGCACAGCTACATATACTTTTTAAAGAAAAAATTTATTACTGTTGTTAAAATAGTGCATGGCTGGGAAATACTACCACTAGGGAAGCTGGGAGCAGCATTATCTGTGAGGTGTAGAAATCATCCAGAAGGAAAATGAGTGTTTTTATAGTTGATAAGTTTGGAACTCTGGGCATAGTAAAATTTCTTTGGGGAGCAGCCACTGATTGCCAGAGCTTGATGAACTTACTGAGTGCTCCTGAGCCTCAAGCTAAGTAGCTTGTCAAGTTGAAATATAATATTGGGAAGATGTTTGTGCAATATGTGTGTTTCCTGATTTAAAAGTTGGATTTCCTCAGAACAGCTAGATTGAATGGGAGGTGTATATCCAACTCTTTGCTTCCCAGGAGGAAAAGACAATATGAAGTGACTTCATAGGCCTAGGCAAGACGCCTGTGCTGTGTGGGGTAATGCATAAACTTAGGTAAAAGTGACTTTGAGTAGAAAAACACCTTTGTGGATGGTGGGTACATTGAGGGGATTATGGAAAAAGTTGCCTTAACAAAAAGGGAGCATGATAGCTGGAAAGCAGGAAACACTTGGGGCAAGCCATTGCTTTGTCAGTGCAGAATACTCTTCATCTGTCTAAATCCCAAAAGCATGGTGCAGCTTTCCAGTGAAGATGACCACAGAGAGGCCCTCACTCCTGTTTCCCATGGATGTTCCAGGTGTGGCACTCAGTGTCCTTTTGTGCCTAAACCCAGCTCTTGTGTTGCAGGGGCCCCCACGAGTAGGTGTGGCTCTTGCTCTCCCTTCGTGTGTTGCTTATCCTTTACAGATGCCAGCTGGAGTGATGCTGCAGCCAGCACCAGGTAAGGGTAACGAGGGGAGGTCAAACCTTGCAGTGCCCTGGGGATGTTGACAGTCCCAGAGACAGTAGATGAAACAGATGAGAAGTTAAAGTATAGGGTAGAGCCAGTTACCCTCCTCTTTGCACTTTGTTTTTGTAGTGGCTGTGTGGGGGAAGTGACTGCAATGATTAATTGGTGTTGTCAGTTTTACAACTCCTAACAAGTCTTCCTTTGTCAGCCCAGACACAGGTGTCTCCTTCTCCCTGTCTCTCAGGGACAATCTTCTATGCTTTCAAAAAGCTAAAGGCACTGTGGTGCTTCAGAAACAGAATTGATTTCTTATTCAAATAAAATCCAACTATCCATTAACTTCTTTGATCCCATTCTTTTGGTGATAACACTGCCTGTACTGCTTGTGCAAAACCTGCTTGTATTGCTTAGGTGTGATCAGTGGAAGGCTTAGTTCAGTCATTGACTCTTCTCTCAAACAGCTGTTCTTTGATGAAAACTGATGTCTCTAGTTATCTGTTTCAGGTATAATTCCTGATGTCATGAGACCTGTAGATTGGTACCAGTGACTCTGTGTGAGCATGTGTGTGTCCCCACAGAAGAAAAATCAAATGAAATTTGGAACTTGGCTCTGGCATCTCAATTCTAACACTGATAGTAATAATTTGAAGCATTCGGTATTCATTTAAGTATTCAATGTTTGGGGTGGTTTTCTTAATAAAAGATATGTAAACTAGGAGTTGTTTGGTTTCTTTTAAACTAAAATAGGCAGGTTTTTTAGAGAGAATACCTAAATGTCCTGAAAGGGATGAACTCTCCCTCTACCTATGGACTAGTTTACTGTTTCATCTTGTATTCCTTAGTTTCTGAAATGACATGGAAAAAATTAAAACACAGGGTATATATTTATTTATTTTAAATCCAGTATGTAGTTAAATTATTGAACTTACTGTCACAGGGTAGTGTGTAGGCCAAACCCAAAAATAGGTGTTAAACATGATGGACTGGCTGGAAGCCATGATTCAGAAAGCTTCTGAATGCCTGATTTTCAAGGGCTGGAATTGTGCTTGAGGAAAGTTTTGCTTTGCAGATGTCCTTTTTCTCATAGTTTGCCCTGGTGTTTGCTCTTGTTTTTAGTGGTGACAGGTCAGTGGCCTGGGTGAGCCTGTAGTTTCACCTACTGAAGCAGTTTTAAACTCTTCTCTCTGCAGGGCAGCTTTACAAGGTGAATGTGCCTGTTGTGGTCACACAGGCCTCAGGAGATGGAAGCATTCTCCACTACCCTGTGCAGCAGATGTTTCATCCCCTTGGGCAAGCTTCAGTTCTGCAGGCCAGCCTTGCCAGTGTCACACAGCTGAATGCATGTGCTGCCCATGCAGCTGGTGAAACACTGCAGCCCCAGGAGACTGCTGTCCAACAGGCTGTGCTGTTTAAACCAAGCTATGTGGAAAAACAGCACCTGGAGAACTCTGCTACCTTGGTCCAGCAGCCTTCTGTGAGTCTGCAGGAATTTGAAATTAATGCAGTATTGAATCAGTGCAGTGAATCCACAGAAAAATTCCAGCATGACAACCTTCACACAGCTGTGTTTACTCCAGAGTGCTCTGAAGGACTTTTTATTGATGAATCCTTGGCAAGCGGCTCAAGCAGTGTCCTGCTGGATGTGGAGGGGCAGCTGGACATGGAGCACCCGGAGCTGCTGCAGCAGCAGGTGTCTGATGATATCATTGACCTGATTATTGCAGGGGAAGGTTTGGATGAAAATGCATTTCTAAAGGATCAGGGAAGCATGGCTTCCTCTGACAAGGTAAGGCCTTTTGTTTCTCAGCTAATGAAAATACATCTGTTAGAGGGGGTTGTTTGAACACCTTTCTAAGTGACAACTAGCACCTCTAAATGAGACGAATAAAAGTTATTTTGATTTTATGGTCCAGTCTTAAGCTTGTTTAGAATAGCAGTAGCTGACTGCTTGTTTTTACATTAAGAATTTGTCAAAACTACTGCTAAAATACTGTGATTGATGAGAATATCAGTTTTAAAATACTGAAAAATGTAATTATTGATTACTTAGAGAATTGTGGGGATTTTTTGTGACTGAGCAGACATGAAAGACTCCTTGAGAACTTTCATATCATTCTGGCACTGATCTGCATATGGGTACTGGTCAATTGTGGGCAAAGTGCTTTTGCAGGATCAGCTGGGATTAATTTTAACTTGTAATGTGTGAAGAACATTAAAGATGTATTGAGAATGCATTCAGGATGAAAAGTCAAATTTGATAAGTGAAAATCTCCTTGAAGAAAATGTATTTCCTTGGGGAGAAAGTCCTGGATAAACTAGAACTCAGCTAGAGCTGTGTGGGAAACTTGAGTGATTTTAATTAACAAGCTGCTTTCCTGACCTCATCTAATTTTAGTGCCAGAAATTATTTGCAGATGTTTGAAGTTCAGGCTGGCTTGGTGACTTTGAGTTGTAGTGCTCATATGTGATTGAGACAAATTTATTAAATGCAAATTTAATGACAGTAATGCCAAATGTCTGTAAATAGAAAGTGTAATGTTGCTCATCTGAACTCTGGCTGTGTGTAGTGAGAATGGAAGGTCAAAGCAAAGTGTTCCTTTCTTGAACTAGAAAGTGTATGTGGATGGGAATTAAGTGCTACAATAAAGATTTAATGAGAAACTGGAGATGGCTGAAACCTTAAAGCCCTTTTCTGCTCCTGTGAATGCTCTGTTTAGGAATTCTGTCACTTTTATGAACAGTAACTTCAAGTACTGAAATATTTACTGTCTCTCCCAGCTTTTTATATCTTATTTAAACAAAGCATTTTGAATTAGTTGAGGGAGAGGGATCAGTTCCTCTTGACTTTTATTTCAAAAATGAAAATTGCTATTTTTGGGGGCGGAGGAGTAGCTTCCTTTTTTGTTTTTATGGGAGGGTTATTTTTTACAATAAAAATTCTAAGTCACTTGATTGTCTTTGTTTTAGAGTTGTTTGAGTACAAGGGTGTTTAGAGAAAAGAGTAAGAAATTTTTTTTCTGTATTGCTGAGGAATATTTGACTTGGGTTCCATTTAAGTTAGATGCCACACAATGTTTATAAATGTACTCAGGTTTTACAAGCAGTAGGACCTGAAACTCTCATATTAGTGCCCCAGGCTGTTGATATATTAAACAAAAATCTCAGGCTTTGTGCTGAACATGGGTGGTGTTGATTCACAAGCTGTCCCTGGTCTCTTTCATTCCTGTCCCATGGAACCCGTGGAGCAGATGGAATCTGGTTTACCACTGGAGAAAGGTCTCTGCAGTGACATTGAAGGCATAAGTCAGCTCGATGGCACTGGGGATGTTTCTTCCAAGGAACAAATACCACACACAAAAGATAAAGAAGAGAATGAATTCATTGGCTTTATTGATTCAGAGGATCTAAGAGTTCTGGATGATGAGGAAGACTATGATGAAGAATGTGACAGTTCTTCAAACCTAGAGTCCAGTGGCAGTGATGGAGAAAATGAAGACCTCCAGATAGACATAGTTGAGGAGGTAATTTACTTTTAAGCCTTTAGAAGCACATAACAATATTAGATCTCTCAGCTGTTGAATTGTTGGACCTAGAACAGTTCCTGGTTAGTTTGATGCAGGCCATCCACAGGGAAGTTACAAACCTCTGGAGACTGGAGGTACTGAAGAGAAATCACTTGAAAACTCATTATGAGGAATATGGACAAATGAAAGAACTGTTGGAAAGTCATTTGTTTATTGGATGAATTAAAATACTTAGCTATCAGAATTAAAGCTTTGGTGTAAAACCCTGGCCTCAGTGGAATGGAGTTCTGCTTTTGACTTAAGTAAGATATTATTTAAAGAATTAGATTTAAATAAGGTTAATTTAAATAAGATCAGGATACAAATCTAGGCTTGCTTTCATTCTGAAGGACCACAGGGAATTAGAGAACAATGTGATACAAGAATATTGTTCTCTGTGTAATGCCCTGTGTTTCCTAGGTTTTCCTTTTTCTTAAAGATATGCAATTTTGTATCCTATGGATTTGTTTACAAGAGCATCAACTTGTAGCATTTGGACTTCAAATAAATACAACTTGATCAGTGTTTCAGTTACTGGGATCTACTTTATCAATTAGGAGTTTTGCTTTTTTGACCTTTGTTTTTGTTTAGGGTGTTTTGGGTTTTGAGAGTGCAAACATGTAAAAGGTCCTTGTAAATGAGGTTGGTGCAATGTGGACTTCCCAGCCTCCAGGTCTTGCTTTTTGCAGTGCTAACTTTATTGTTCTGGGAATATTTAATTCCAAGTATATTTGTTGCTATTCTGAGAGAGTGCATAAAACAGAATTTTAATCTCTAGGACCCCTTAAACTCTGGTGATGATGTCAGTGAGCAGGACATTGCAGACTTGTTTGACACCGACAATGTGATAGTTTGTCAGTATGAAAAGGTACAGTAATACACTTTTATCTTTGTTCTTTAATCATCCTAAGTAATACCTGCAGCAAATCCATCTCTGCTCTCCTGTCAGTGCCTTTTGAAGAAACTCTAATGCTGTAATGGAGTGTTTAAATGATGTGTTTAGCTGACAATAGTCTGAAGACTTTCCTACTGTTTTCTGAAAAGAGGATAATCATAATGGCCTATTAAAGGAAAAGAGAACAACAAGTCTGGCAAAATTATGATTTGTAAAGGTGCAAAACTTGTTTATTTCCTTAGCTTTTAAGTAAGATCAACATCTCTGTGGATGTATGTAGGCATATTCAGCTGTGAATTAAGGCTTTTAAAAAGGATAACAGAAAGAGAGGTGTATGTACTTTTTTTTTCTTTGTAGTGCTTACTGAGAGATTTTTCTACCAGAATTTTGTTGTGTCTCAGAAACAAAGTAGTCATTAAGTACCTTATTGTCCACCTTCCTTTTAATGTTTAAAATTCAACCCTACTTTGAACTGCTGAAGATTAAATTAAATCATTTTAACTATTGTATGGTTTTGGGTGCTTACATGTCAGTAATTTAAAAGAGAAAAAAAGGGCATATTTTAAAAGTAAATATGGAATCTATTTTAAAGCAAATATGGTAGTTTAAGAGTGTGCCTTGACTTTTTTTTAATATTCTTTCAAAAGTGTGCCTAGACATAACTTTTTGTATGTCTAACTAGGCCTGTCTTAATGGTTATCTTTGGTTTAGGAAACAGAGAAGTGCTAAGAAAATTGTCTTTATGAAACTCTGCCAGATTGACTGTTCCTGAGACCAGTTATTTTGGAAAGTTATAGGGATATGTGTAGAAAATACCTTTGAAATGAAGCTATTGGTGTCTGTATTGTATTGAAAGGTGCACCAAGTTTTGCAGCCTCAGAGCTCAGACATTAGTTGCTATAGGTAGTGCATGCTGTCATCTAGAGCAAGTTTTGTCTGAAATAAGCTGAAAAATTGCCTGAAAATCTAAAAGAAACTACTAGGAGGGTCAGCACTGGGCATGCCTTACAGGAAATTTAATATCAGATGTTATTAGAAATTGAAAGTTACAGAAGCTGGAGAAAGATGTTGGTAGCTTTCCCCTTTGCAATACAGATTTAATAAAACACATAGGCCCAGTAGAAAGTAGATCAAACCAGTTATGTTTTAAATTACCTTGTTGCCTTTAAGACAATGATTTTGGCAAAATTGCTGTCCTGTTTCTTTTCCTTCTGGAACTGAAAACTGATGCTGGCAGTTCAAGGAATTTTCTAGGGATATTTAAAATTCCTTTTTTTAATATTAAACAAAATTTTCTGGAGTATGGATCTCTTTACAGGTATTTAAAAAGAAACAGAATATGCAAATTCTTTCTTACATTTTTTAAAATTTAAATAGTAGCATTTGCTTTTAAGCCAAATTTTGATGCTTTTAGCCTGTTCCTAACACCTCTGTGCCTGCAACATTGCTTTGCCACGTGGAAAGGAAAGCATTGCATTTTAGTTAAGCTACACTGGTTTGCAAGGTGTGCTGTGTTTTGGGATAGCTCTGTTACTGTGCTCTTGTCCTGCTGGTGTTGAGCTGTCATAGGGAACACATTTTAGGGGGAAGTTGTGGGATAGGAGAGTGGGACAAGATGGGATAAGATTCAGGAGGTTTCTCTCTTGGGGGGCTGGGAGTTCTTTATACACAACTGAAGTAGAATGCTTCCATTGAGTATTCCGTTGAATATTTTGAGTCATAACAATTTTAAAATAAAAAACAGGTGTGTATAACAGGTATGCTTAAATCTTGTTGTTTTTTTAATGACCGGTCTAATTTATATTTGTGATTTCATTAATTTTGATTATTATTTTTCATCAGATACATCGAACGAAGAACAAATGGAAGTTCTATTTAAAAGATGGAGTGATGTCCATTGAGGGTAAAGATCATGTTTTTGCAAAAGCCACTGGAGATGCAGAGTGGTGAAACTTCACTCCAGTATGTCCTTGAAGGCTGTGGCATGATTTCCTTATAAGCCTTTTGTGAAACAATTGGACTTTCTATTGTTGTGCCATAAAAAAAACCCCAAAAACCAACAGACAACCAAAACTGAAAAAATTCAAACTCCAAAACAACAAATCTCTGATGAAAAAAGATGCAAAATCTGTTGTTAATTTGTGGTGTTAATCTGTTTAGTTTGTAAACTAAACCACTGTACTGTTAGCTACTCAGCTGTCTTTGCTGTTCTTTTCTGATTATTTCATTTTTTCCAATGAAGAAGCATCATTGGAATGAGTAGCTTTAAAGTTTGAAGTGTTATATGTGTTCGTAATTCCAGAAGGTAAAGAAATACTTAGTAATTAGTAAAGAACTACTTATTGGTTATAATCAAATAAGTTTTAGTTCTGTTGTTTTTTTCCCCAGCTCTTAAAAGCTGAGTTGTGAGTTGAAATATAAAATTACACTGTTGTTATTCTTTTCAAAGACTTTTGAGTTGAAAAAGACACCGTTGTGTTATTCTTTTCAAAGACTTTTGAGTTGAAAAAAAAAGCAATATCTATGCAAGTCTGAACCTGTGGCTGTTTCAGCTGCTCACTTTTCTTGACTTTTTTCAGTTGCTTTGTGTTTTTTGGACTTCAGTTTAAGGACATGCACTCTAGATGCAATAAGGGAAATGTCTGGGAAAGATCCTGGAGCTCTCAATATATGAGAATTATTATTGTTTACTCTGTACAAGCTATGTCTACTGAGATGCAGTGAGTAGTGTGATGTAACGTTAAAATGTGATTTATTTTCACTGTCAATGCAAAGTCATTTAAGTTTGCTACTGTACATCTCCACTTTGTTCTAGGACTACAGACCAGTAAGCTGTGAATGATACAAATTGTGCATAATAATAAAAGTGTCATCTCATATACATTTCTAGCACAGAGTTGTTTTTGGTCCCTCAATATAAACTCTGCTTAGAGAAATGGGTACAAGCCTTGCACGTGCCAGTAGCTCACCCTACCATGAGAACTGCATTCCTCCCAACATGAACTTCTTGTTAGTTCTTCTAGAAATAAAAGTCCAAAAAGCAGCTTTGGGCCCTTGTCTTTCAGAGCTGTGGCTTTTCCCTGGCTGGCTCCTGTTCCTTGTAGGGCAATTCCATGGTAAAGCTGCAGCCAGGCTGCCTCAGAACAGGATCATCCTGCTGGAAGGGCAGTGCTGCACTAAGGCACACCTCCCCCTTGGCTGCTGCCATGAGACATTGTGAGGCTGGGAGAAGGGAAAGAAAAATCTGAGAGTGGGAGAGAATAAATAATCCCATGGCTGCTGGAATGAGACATTGTGAGGCATTTTGCTTATCTCTAATCCCTGAGAAGGGTGCAGAGGCTGGGAGAAGGGAAAGAAAAATCTGAGAGTGGGAGAGAATAAATAAATGGAAGAAATGAAGGGAAAAATCCCAGCCTTTGTTCATAATGGTGCAAACCCTTGTGCTAATGCCATAAGGCAGGAAGTAGTTCTTTAAAAATTGAGTCTACTACATGCTTTTTTTGGATGCATCTGCTACTCTCCAGTGTCAAAGACAGGACCCTGAACTAGAGCACTTGAACCAAGTGTGACATTCCTTTTGTCTTTTATAGATGCTGCTGCTGGACTGTGAAGAATTGTGTGTTCAGAGGCAGTTAAAATATTCCAGTGTATGATTTCTTTTTCCCCATTCAGATGACTTGTAGCTGCACTGATGCTACGCTTCAGACCCATAAATGCACAAAAAATGCAGCTCTTACCACATGATAGATGCTTTTAGGTTTCAGCACTCTCTCACAGGCTCTGAGGTGCTCATGCTCTGTAAATGTGCACATTATGAACTGTGGGACCATTTCCAGTGTCAGAAAAGACTGGAGCAGAGGTAGTGTGGCACAGGAATCCATGGGACAGGACTGGATATGCACCATTCACTTAGCACCACAAAGGCTTTCAAGGGTGCTTCTGAATTTGGCCTGTTTTTCCTAGTCACTATATAATGAAGTTGCTAAAGAGCCCTTAGATTTTAGCTAGTTTTAAAGATAACATTAGTAAAGAATTACAGCTTTGAACAAGACATTTGCAACTAAATACACCTGAAGTCAGGAATTTTTATACTGAAAAAAGAGTTTCTTATTAAAATGTAAGCTCTATCATGTGACTTGAACAGTAATCAGTGCTTTTGATCTGAGCATTTGCAACTAAATACACCTGATGTCAGGAATTTTTATACTGAAAAATTGTTTCTTATTAAAATGTAAGCTCTATCATGTGACTTGAACAGTAATCAGTGCTTTTGATCTGAATAGTTTACAAATTAATGTTGATTGCTGCTACTTACAGTTTAGGAGACATATTGCTGCAGATGTGATAGGATGAGGTGTTTAATACCAGTAATGGCCTTCAAAGATGCTTCAGTAAATGGCTGTCTAAAACTTTACACCACAAAGAAGGTAAAGTAAAAATAATGAGATGGAATAACAAGAGTAACTTGTATGAGAAGCTCTGTCATGAATCTAAATCTCTTATTAAAGTTTTACTTATTTACTTACTTTTATGCATAGACAGATTTTAAGTATTTAAATTACATTTGATGTTTTGTCAGGTTTTTTTAAACAGCAATTTTGTAAATGGTGGATTTCACTTCCCTTGCAGCAGGTACAAAAAGAAAAATGTCCACAGAGACTCTCTTGCTGCTTGGCTGTTACCTCTGTAGCTCTGTAGGGCAGGTGCTATCAGTTAATTCTAACTCATCTCCCTTGCCTGTGGTTTCCTGACCATGTTATGTGGTAGGGAGGGTGTGCTGGCAAGCTCTTGTCCTGTTCAAACATAATGCAAGTAAATCAGTTGCCCACTTAAGATATTGTGCTGTCATGTCCTAAATTGTGTGCAGGACTCTTCCATGGGATGTCAGAAGAAATGAGTCTCAAAAATCAGTTTTGATATAGGTGACGGAGAAGTCTTAGGCCCAGTAGCTATTTTTTTACACCAGTATCTTTGGCTGTATTATAGTTAGATATCCTATCACAGTCCTATTTGATTATTATTAGCTAAGCTCAGGGGCTGGTGTGTGTAAAGAGGTGCATCAATATTGATTGCCAAAGCACAGAGTTTTAAGAGTCTCCTCTGTTCTCAATCTTGCTTCATTCCCCACCTGTGGAACTGCTCGTGAGCACAGCTGTGCTTATATCAAGAGCTTTTGCACTGATTGAAAGCATGGCGTTATGCTGAAGGTAAGAGTGGGTCAGAGATGTTATTTCTAATTATCACAATTATGTACTAATGATAGACCAGTCACTGGTACAAAGAATTGCTTTCATTAATGTGAAGCAAATTTAGCTGGTGGTGCAGTGTTTTGGCAACAAGAGGACTGCTTTGGAACTCAGTTGCTGTCACAGACTTGAAAGCATAGGACTTAGCTGAAAAGGAGAATGTAAAAGGTTTAAAGTGATTGCAATGTTCTCTTATGTATCAGACTCTGCACTTACTTAAATTAGCAGTGCAGTCACAAATCTGGACCAGGCATTTATCTTGATCACTTAGCATCAGGCAATGAATAGTGAAAGAAAAGAGAGATTTTAATAGGAAAACATTGTCACCAAAAGGTAACTACTCCGCTACTCTGCTTCATCACCTGGGAATAGAGTTGGATTGTGTGTGCTGAAGAGGCCCTGGTGATGTCAGAGAGTGGACAGGAGGAAATCATTCCTGAAATTCTCCCAGGAGGGAAAAGAAGGCAGCACTTCCTTGCCTGTGCAGGAAGCAGCTCTCCTGCTGCCGAGAGGGACCCTTTACCTGATTTGTGTGTGTGAACATGTGATAGCCTAAATTGAGTCCTGTGTGCAGCAGAGGGGGTCTCTTGTGATTTTTGCATCTCTTTGATTTCCAGATCACACATGGCTGTGCATGGGTTAATAATTTAAGTAAACTACCCACCAGCTCAGACTGATATCTAATGTAAACTGCAAAATTGCCAATGACAAAGGTTCAATAGATAAACTTTCCTCTTTGGTGACATCTTTACAGCCTATTGCTTGAATGCTCTTCTTTAACTGTGTGTAGGTGGCTGTGTAATTGGAAGTTTCTGTTGATGAAATGGAGGCATCTAGTTTAGTGCTTCTTTCTGTAAACTAACAATGCCAGCAGAGCTGATAGGAATGAAAAAAGAAGCCATGAAAGGTAGCAAACAGGCTTTAAACACTTCAGGGAAGCAGATCTGGAGAAAAATAGGCAGGCTGCAATCACTGCAGTAACTGTTAGCTTCAAGAGAACTTGACTACTCCTGGACTCTTCTGGTTCCCCATACAGAAAAGTTTTGCCTTATAGCCGCATTCCACACCTATCATCACAAAGGGAGAGAAGGGAAAAGACCACTTTGGATGTCAGAACAGTTATGTTGCATAAGAATTATTGACTGGCATTTTTATTTATTATGAAATATTCAAGACACTGTAAAACAGTCCCTAGTCACTAAGATAATCACAACTGGCCTTGCGAAGGGTAACTTGGCACTCTGGGTAAATTTTCCTTGTGAGATGTCTTGTCCCGTGGTGCAGGATGGGGCTTCTCTAAGGCTGACAGGAGGAGGAATGCTTGGGAGGCTTTGGTGGGGGCTGTGGCTGCGCCACCATTCTTGCAGTTGGAGTTATAAGCAGAGAAATAGTTCATCCTGTAGAGCTCTGCTCGGCTCTTGCAGCAACCAAGCTTGCTCATCAGCAGGAAGAAATCCCTCCGAAATGCTTTGGTGAAAATCGCGTAGAGGAAGGGGTTTGCGCAGGAGTTGACGGGGTAAAATAAAACCAGCAGGATCTTGGAGTTGGTCACTGTGATGAGAGGAACTTTGAAGGCAGCGGATATGGCAAAAAAGGAGATGGGGGCCATGCAGGTGAAATCCGTGAAGATCAGTATTGCCATTCTCTTGGCGACCTTGGTGTCTTTATTGGCAGCTACCAGCTCCGGGTTCTGCACAGCGATGTAGATCTTGATGTAACAAGCACAAATGACAACGAAGGCGACAACATTCAGCACCAAGATCAGCAGGATGTAGGCTTGGGACAGGCCCGTTTCGATATCCATGGGCAAACAGATGCTAACCTTCATGTAGCTGCTGACCCCGAAGAGAGGCAGCAGGGCTATCCCGATGGAGAAGAGCCAGCCTCCCAGCATGATGGGCACGGCGTGGCGCAGCCGCAGCTTGCGGTCCAGCTGCATGGCGTAGGTGATGGTGTGCCAGCGCTCCAGGGTGATCACCGTCAGCGTGTACACCGACAGCTCGCTGGCAAACACCGTGAAGAAGCCGGCCGTGCTGCAGCCGCTGCCCGTCTGCCAGTCGATGGCGTGGTTGTAGTACTGCCCGCTGGTCTGGGCGTCCACGGAGGCGATGAGCAGCAGGTACAGCCCCATGCAGAAGTCGGCGAAGGAGAGGTTGCACATGAGGAAGCGAGGGACGGTGAGCTTGTAGTGGCTGGTCAGGAGAACGAGGAGCA